TTTTTATATTTTACCTGTTATGTGAGTTCCTGCACGTGGATTATTTTTGTTTCTTGCAATGGGATCCACTTTTTGTTTTTAATATCTGTGTTGTGTTGTGTTGTGCCTGAGTTAGGACATGTGTTAGTCTGGATAGATCATGTTTGAACAAAGATGAGAACACAGCTGTCTTGTTAGAAAGTGAAATGTAGTCATTCATGACTCATTATTTAACAGATCTATTAGCCCGCAGACTGCTGCAGTCGCCTCTCTGATAGCTTCAGTTTCGTACATCTGTTTCAGTATGAGCCTTTTGAGAAAACATTATGTTTATGTATTGCAATATCACCCATGCATTTCTAATAAAATAGCAGATCAGTTGCAGGTGACTTGAGATGTGCATATAACACAACTAAAGGACCTTCACATTCAGCACTTCTCTTCTGAAATAGACTGACAAAGACATCATTAACTCCCCTCATTCTTCTGATTAATGGATCCGTCCGAAAAGCATTAATATAATGCGGGAGTTCATTTTTTTCCCACGAGATAATTTCACTTCTATATTTTTGGTCAGAAATGTCCCGGGGTTTGAGCAGTGAGTAATGGGTGTTATTACGAAATCACTGGCGAGTTCATTTATTACTGCATTTGTTCAGCATTTTCCCCTTCTTTTGTAGAAAACATTTTTCTCCATCTACATGTTCATAAACAACAGGTTTAAATGACTGCAAACCCTCCCAAATATTATGCCAAATATCAAAACCCAAAGCAAACTGTCATTTGCACAATATATTACTGTTTTGAGTCTTATTTGCTATTAAATCACCAATGCATTTGCAGTCATCTGACAGTCAGCAATAGGTGTTAAACTAAAGCACTTGCAATGTGTTCATTTGTGTTCCAGTAATTAGCATATTCATTAGTGCGATTTGCATTGATTAAGTTGATTTATGCAAGTATGTATCAGCATGAAAAGAAGATGCGGTGAGCTGATTAGTTAAAGGGGTTCTATTATGCTTTTTCACTTTTTCAACTTTAGTTAGTCTGTAATGTTGCTGTTTGAGCATAAAAAAGATCTGCAAAGTTACAAAGCTCAAAGTCCACTTCAAAAGGAGATATTTAATTTAACAGAATACCTTGAGAGTATTTCTCAGAGGCTTGATAACTTTTCAAAAACTACAACGAACGACTCGTTTGACCTGCCTACACCCCACTGATGGTTATGTTTAGGGATTGACATTCATGCTTACTTTTTTTCCTAAAAACTGTTGCTGCATCTCTTTTCAAAGCCTGCGCCCTCTGCAGGTCGCACATATGTGCACTTATATGTAATTAAAGCTGCAACATTTCGGAAAAGTAACCATTAAATTGCAAAGAAAGAAATTACAATAATTTAGGCCTCACAAGAAATAACAGTTGAATGACACATCCTTGATCTTTGGATGTGGCCGACATGCAATCTCTGGAGGGCGCAGCCATATATGAAATGAGACACAGCTTCTATGTTTCTGTACAAATCACATTGCACAAATTCATCTGAAAATGCCATTGTTATGTTTTCGAACTATCCATTTGAGGACACATTGGTGAAAACTCACATATGTCTTGTGGGATTCGAACCCATAACCTTCCAGTCCAGATCTTGACCCACAAAGCCACATCTCAAACCTCAACCCTAAGCCTTACTTCTACTCTAACTTCCAGGTGTCACAGTTTGTCCGCAAACCCACATCCTTGGACACACATATACGTCCACTCACCGCCATCGTCCTCATCGAAGGAGTTCATGCAGGGGAAGTAGATGGCCAGGGCCTCAAAGGACGCGGACAAGCTGATGCGACTCTGCGAGCGCTCCATGTAAAGGCCCGGTGCAGGTGCCGGCGCTGTGTCCGCCGGCTTGGGCAGGCGCGCCTGGGCATTCTTCACGCGGAGCACGGCACGCGGCGTCTTGGCTAACTTTCACCGGCCCCTTCGCCAGCCCCGTACAAGACAGAAAAACAAACGGCAAAGCACCCTCGTAGGTCCCTGTGGACCTGGTTTGGCTTCAAGAATCCTGTCCAGATGTGATGTCCAGAGTTTTTGGTGTCTCTAAAGTCCTTATTTTGTTTTGTTTCTGTCCAGATCTTGAGGACAGAGGATTAGGATGGATGGAGTCTCATCTCAGAGGCTGATGTCTCAGAGCTGTGCTGGATCTGCTTCAGAGAACATGATCTGTTGCTTTTCCTTGTCTAGCTGATCCCTCACCGGGCTGTGCAGTGGATGGACGGATAGTGTATACTGCCGTTTGTCTGTGTGTGTGTGCAAGAGAGAGAAGAGGAGAAATGGAGAGAGAGAAGGAGAGATGGGATTGTAGAGACAGGCAGACGGAGAGAGAGAGAGAGATAGACAGGGAGAAAAGGTTCTTACTATTCTAGCAGTCTGAGGCTGATTCACTTCATTCAGCGCTGAGCTCTTTGTGGAGACAAAAAGTGGGAGGAGGCACCCAAGAGCTGTTGCTGGGATTCAGGATATTGGCCAATCACAGGCCGAATGTCAGGATGTGGGCGTGGCCACTGTCTACAGGCACAATAGCTGTGAATATCTTTCATCCTTCACAGACATCGACCGTCTCGCTCTCTCTCCACTAACAAGGTGAAGTGGGAATCTTGAAGCATTGGGAAGCTGATAGATTTCAGACAAGGTTTGATTGCAGTATGTTTCTGCCTCTCTCTTTCCAATCAAACCTGATTGTTTTAACAGTAAATCACACACATAAACTGCAACAGTAGGCTATATATTAAGACCTATCAAATCAATAATGTTGTGAATATTCATATTAATTAATTTAATTCAACCATGAAGAAAAGTAATCTCACATTTTATAGATTCAATAATAATCATTTCTTTTAGTGAATGCTTCCTGTAAATGCATTTCATTTTAATAATAATAATACATTTTAACTTGTCCACCAGTTTGTAAGTAAATAATAAATAAATTATTAAATTATTGATATAGTAATGCAATAGAAATAAGGCAAGACATTCCGAAAAGCTTAGAAATAGAATTTTATAATTTTTTACATTTCCAATTTTTTTGTCTAATTTTTTAATGCAAAAATAGATTAATAATAATAATTTGTAGAGTGTTGCTTTTGTTAACTAAAACGATGAACATTGTTTTCCTTGCTGAAATAAAGCTGAAATAAAGTAAAATAAAAATATTACATTAAAAATTTAAATAAAAAGTCTTGACAATTAACTGAAAATAACTTGAAGTACTAAACTGATATAAAATAAATTAAAGGCAAATAACAATAATAAAAACGAATAAATATGAAAAAGTAAATAAATAAATAGCAACAAAATGACAGTAAAACATTTTTTTGTGAATAATCTCTGATGATTGGCAATTTAAACGCAGCCATTGACAGCACCTGTGGGCTTCAGCTGTATTTAACCCACAATATTTCTTTAAGAAGCGGGATAAAAGAATGACACTGCTAGCTGAGAACAGTCATCTTCTGTTAAAGACGCATTTTGTCTTCTGTGTGTCTGGCAGAAGAGGCCGAGAGTGTGTGTGTGTGTGTGTGTGTGTGTGTCTGAGAGGTCTGAAAATGTCACCTGTGCCACCTCAATGAACAATCACAACTCTACTGCAAATAACAAACGCAGGAACATCACTCATAGTTATGAACACCTCATAACCGATGCTGGCAATCTCGCTCTCTCTCAAAGTGCATCCTGTCAATTTTTGTATAGATTTAGTCTTTGTATATGGTTTAACCTTAGCAGGTTTACCAGAGTTCATCGGATTGTATGCTAACCCTCACTTTGGTTGTATGCAAGTTTTTGAAGGATTAACTAGATTTTTACATTTTCAGAAAATTTGAGTAATGCACATTGATATGTGGTTGTTGCCAAGTTGCTATGTGATAACTGATATGAATTTTGCAAGTACCATGGTACAGTATATTCAAATACCAGAGTATTATCATCTGATACCATCATGGTATCATATCACTGGTAATCATTCAGTCACTACAAAAAAGTATTAAAAAGCAACATGATATTGCCATTAGCTTTGAACATGTTCCACAGTATTCATGGAAGTACCTTGGAGCATTGTTTTTATTGTTAGCTAAAATTAAAACAAATAAGAATTGTTTTCGTTTATTACAATAAAGTTAACATAAAATCAATTATAAATATTAAAAGACAAATTTGATATGTTGTATTGACTGTAAGATGTAAGTTAAAAGGACTAAAACTGAAATAAAAATAGCTCAAATAAAAATAAAAATTTAACATTACAAAAGCATATAATAAATTACTAAAACTTTACAATTAATATGAAAACTGAAAATATAAAAATAAAATTGAATTAAAAATATTAATAAACAGTATAATAGTAACATTGCCTTCGAGTACCATGGTACTTCCATTTGATACCATCACCGCACACTGAAACAAATTATTTTGTGTGTGTGTGTGTGTGTGTGTGTGTGTGTGTGTGTGTGTGTGTGTGTGTGTGTGTGTGTGTGTGTGTGTGTGTGTGTGTGTGTGTGTGTGTGTGTGTGTGTGTGTGTGTGTGTGTGTGTGTGTGTGTGTGTGTGTGTGTGTGTGTGTGTGTGTGTGTGTGTGTGTGTGTGTGTGTGTGTGCGCGCGTTTTTGTGACAAATGAGGACATACATTTGTATAATGACAAAGGTATGACACAGGTATTACAAGGAGAAGGTGACTTTTCAGGACATTACCCCATGTCCCCACTTTTCAAAACGCTTATAAATCACCCAGAATGGAGTGTATTGAAAATCTGAAATAGCACAAAGTTTCCTGTAAGGGGTAGGTTTAGGGGTAGGGTTGGTGTAGGGCAATAGAATATACGGTCTGTACAGTATAAAAA